TGAGGTTACCAGTTGTTTGAAACAATTTTTTACCATGATTCGAACTCAGTTTGGTAAAATAATTAAGGTTGTGCGCTCAGATAATGGTACTGAGTTTCTCAATAAACCCTTGCGTATGTTTTATAATGATATGGGTGTTCTGATTCAAACTTCTTGTGTTAATACCCCACAGCAAAATGGTCGGGTCGAGCGTAAACATCGTCATATCCTTAATGTCGCCCGATCTCTTATGTTTCAGGCCTCTTTGCCAATTGAATTTTGGGGGGAGTGTGTACGTACAGCGGTATATCTCAAAAACCGTACTCCGACTCCTCTTTTGCACGGTAAATCTCCATATGAACTCCTTTCTTCAAAACCTCCAGACTTGTCTCATCTTCGGGTATTTGGGTGTTTGTGTTTTGTTCGTCACCTTCAGCGTCCACCTAATAAATTTCATCCACGTAGTGTCAAATGTATGTTTGTGGTATATCCTACGGGGACTAAGGGTTGGCGTGTTTATGATCTTGAGTCTCACCGTTTCTTTCATACTCGGGACATTTCTTTTGAAGAAACCACTTTTCCGTTTGCTATCTCTAATCCTTCACGCGTCCCACCTGACTCTTCCCCGCGGCATGAGCACGCTGATTTCCCAGAGCCCCCTGCTGTCCAAACGTCCAGCCCTCTCGAGTCCAGTGTCTCTGGGCAGTCCCCCACCTCCTCCGATAGCAACAGTGAGACTGCCCCAGACAGTCCGCCGTTGCTCCCTCGTCCTGTTCGTGAACGTCGTCCTCCTGCACATTTATCCGACTATTACTGTCACACAGCTCGGACATTGACTCATGTTGCTCCCTCCATTACCTCTTCTCGTTCTTCAGGTACTCGGTATCCTATCCATAACTTTGTTCATTATGAGAAATTGCATGACAGATACCGTGGATATCTTGCTGCCGTTTCCTCCCATGAGGTACCAAGGACTTTCAAGCAAGCTATGCAGCATGCCAATTGGCGCTTAGCTATGCAACAGGAGATTAATGCCTTGGCAAATAATCATACATGGGATATCACGGATCTTCCACCTGGGAGGACGGCTTTGGGATGTCAATGGGTCTACCGTACCAAGTTTCATTCAGATGGAACGAAGGAGCGTGATAAAGCTCGGTTGGTTGTTTTGGGGAATCACCAGGAGTTCGGTACGGATTATACAGACACTTTTGCTCCTGTCGCCAAAATGGGTACCCGTATTCTCTTATCTGTTGCTGTGGCTCGGGGCTGGGAGATACATCAACTGGATGTTAATAATGCTTTCTTGAATGGTGATTTAACTGAGGAAGTTTACATGCATTTACCACCTGGTTTTTCTGTTCCGGGAAAAGTATGTCGTCTTCGCAAATCTTTATATGGTTTGCGTCAGTCTCCTCGGAACTGGTTTCATAAGCTTAGCACAGCTCTTCGTCACTGGGGTTTTAAGCAGGCTCATAAGGATCATACTTTATTTATTCTCAAGCGTGGCCCTGATCTTCTCACTATTTTAGTATATGTGGATGACATTTTGGTTGCAGGCAATAATTCTTCCATGTGTGCTTCTTTCAAACGATACTTGGATCGGTGTTTTCAGCTTAAGGACTTAGGACCCGTCAAATATTTTTTGGGTATTGAATGTGCTCGTTCTCCTACCGATATGGTCCTAAGTCAACGGAAGTATGCTTTGGAGATTCTACAAGAAGCGGGGTTGTTAGGCTGTAAACCCGCTGGGACTCCACTACCGACGACGCACGACCTGAGTAGGTCCACTGCCCCTCTTCTTCACGACCCAGCTCGGTATCGTCGTCTCGTCGGTCGCTTGATCTATTTGACTATCACCCGCCTGGATATTTGTTACTCTGTTCATGTCTTCTCACAGTTTATGCAGGCACCTACTCTCGATCACATGAATGCAGCCATGTGAGTCCTCCGGTACATCAAAGGTCACCCAGGTCAGGGCATTTTTCTTAGTGCTACCAGTAATCTCCAGATTTCAGCTTATTGTGACTCTGACTGGGCGAGTTGCTCACTATCTCGTCGCTCGGTTAGCGGGTATTTTATTATGCTGGGTACCTCTCCTGTGTCTTGGAAAACAAAGAAGCAAACCACTGTTGCTAGATCCTCTGCAGAGGCCGAGTACCGGGCCATGGCTAATGCCTACGTCGAAGTGAGGTGGATGCGTGGTATTCTTGGAGCTTTGGGGGTTCCTATTTTATATCCTCCACGGTTATATTGCGACAACCAGTCTGCATTATATATTGCGGCTAATCCAGTGTTTCATGAACGCATGAAACATGTTGATGTTGATTGTCATACGGTGCGCGAGAGTGTTCAACGATACAAGGTGTTAACGAGATATGTTCCCACTCGGTATCAATTAGCGGATATTTTTACTAAACCATTGACAAAACCTGTTTTTGATTTTTTATTGTGCAAGTTGGGCATTCAGGATCTTCATGCGCCAACTTGAGGGGGAGTGTTAGCGGGTATTTGTATTAAAGACGTAGATTAGTAATTTGGGCCCACTACTTAAGCCCGCTTGTATGTTTGTATATATACAGTGGTGATTAATGAGAAACACAGATCAGTTTTCGTAAAAATTCTACAATTACACAAAGGAGAAAGTAAAAGAGCCAACTTTTTGTTCACCTAAACCATCTCCAATCAAGAACACTTCTATAAACCACCTCCTGTCTCCTAACCAAAGTCTCATTTCAAATAATTAACTCGATTAATTTGAACAATTGAAATATATCGAGCAGTGACATGACTAATAATGGGAAAAAATTTGACTTCTTGATAGTATATGGAGACTTTAGTTTTAAGAGAGTGAGAATATATATATAAAAATCAATACAATCACTTTACCTTTAAGCTTTAATAATAATCATGGAATTAATTGAGAATTTCTAAAGAAATCCCAAAAAAGAAAAAAAAATAACTGTACCATTAATGAGCTGTAGTTATGCTTTACACCTTTTCTTTGCCTCGCTGTAAACTACGACGCCCATTACGGTGACGGCGAAGCCGGCCATCCCCATGGCGGTGACGGGGTTCTTGAATATCAGAACCGACACCACGGCGGCGACGGCCGCCTTGGCATTGCCCAGAACCTGCAACGTCAGCGCGCTGGTGTGCTTCGTCACCAGGAAATTAGTCAAGTTGACCAAATACGCCACCGTGGCATTCCCGGCGAGCAAGAAGACGATAAACCCATCCCCCTTCGCCTTCTCCACCGTCACTCCGAGAACGTCCCCTTCAATGTACAGAGTAAACGGCAGCAGAATCAGAGCCGCCATTGGAGCCATGTAAAGCAAAAGATTCATGGAGTGCAATTTCTCTGCTTCGGAGCTCAGAAGCAGCCCCTGCACCACCGACTTCAACGCCCGGCCGGCGGTGGAGCCGACGCAGACCAAGAACCCGAAAAGATGAAACAGGGGCTCACTGTTGCTGGCCAGAACAATCCCAAGAACCACCGGAACCAGAGCCAGGTAAACCTCCGGCGACTCCTTCTTGCAGGTGATGACGAAGGCGAAGATCGCCGTGAAAAACGGCGTCGTCGCGCCGATCGCCTGGTTGAAGGAGACGGGGAGGTATCTCAGGGAGGTGTTCCCGCAGACGACGGAGAAGCAGAAAATGACGCTCAAAGCGAGAATCTTGAAGAACTGTCTCCGGCTGAGGATTTGCTGGAAGGGGACGATTCCGAGCCACTTGACGGCGATTAGACTGTACGCGCCGCAGGAGATCATGTGGAGCATGGTGAGGAAAATCGGGTACCGGTAGCCGTAGAAGCTGAGGAGGTACTTGTTGAGCAGGAGGACGCCGACGTTGGAGAAATACCAGGCGGCGACGAGAAATCCGGTGAGCAAATTCGGGGAGATAAAGGTCCCCAAAAGGCCGGTGCCGTACAGATTGTGCTGACGCACCTCCGCCGTCGGGGTGATGGGGATGTCCAGGACCTGCTCGTTCGTCTCCGGCCTGGGATTGCTTCCTCGCCGGGAAGCCCATGTCTGGGATTCCACCATTTCCGGTGCCAAAGAAAGGTAAATGACAGTAAAGACTCGAGCTTTATGCAGAAAGATTGAGAGGGCAGAGGAAGAAGGGGAAGGAGGCGGCGGCGGACGGCGGAGATCTAGATTTGGGAGGAGGAGGAGAAGTGTCGGTCAGGGATTGGTGGGATATGGAGAAGAGGGGTGGGGTCAGTGTGGCACGTGCTGGATAAATTACCTATGGGAGACTTAAGACTATATAGCTGTGTGGGACCCGACCAAACATGGTGTGCCCAACTATGGAAATGTTTTCGTAATTTCGGGAAATCGGAAATTCGGTATTTCGGACTACATGGAAAAATACTGTGTATTTAAAAGAGTAAATTTCATAATTGGTCCTTTATAATATAGGGGTTTCCATATTTAGTCCTTTATTATCAAATATTACCCCCGTAGTCCTTTTTTTTAATGTACCTTTCCACAAATGGTCCTTTTTTTATCTTCTGCCGTGTTGTTGTTAATTTAAATGATAAAAGTATAATTTGACATCAACATTATGTCTAGTGACGTGTTCTGATATTGGTTAAGCGGAAACACAAAAATAATGACTATGATTGTGGGCTAGGATTCTTACGAAAGATCACATTTGTAGATTATCGTTGTCGTAAAAAGTGACTGTAATTCACAAACGATGCAAACGAAACAACCTTTGGAATTGTGTATCACAAAAAAGATATATTATCATTCTGAAATTACATTTTTAGCCCTCAAATTAACACCAACATGATAGAAGATCAAAAAAATGACTATTTGTGGAAAGGTACCCATAAAAGAAGGACTACAGGGACAATATTTGATAATAGAGGACTAAATATTGAAACCCCCCTGTTATAAAGGACCAATTATAGAATTTACTCTATTTAAAAGTTAAAACTACATGGAAATAATGTGTTGCTTTGTTTAATACTCCCTTTCGTCCTGCTATATTTGTCCACTTTTGACTTTTGGAACTGTTCATCTAAGCACTTTGACTCACCAAATTCTCTCAATGTGTAATATACAAATTACAAGATAAAATGGATTAAAGAAATATATTAGATAGTATGCAAAAATTAAAGTAGACAAATATTCTGGGACGAAGATAGTACTTCTTATTTTGGTTCTCTCATGGGTGTGCAAAGTATTCAATCGTAAAGGCTTTTAAAATTTAAGGCATAATATTTTTAAATCGGCATTAATTTTAAAGTATAAATATTCTAAAAAAGTTAATTGGCTCCAAAATATAAATTTTAGACCAGATTAATTTTATTTTTTCATTTTTTGAGCCCGGGTGTACTCCGTATAATTTTAACTAATTAAATGTTACGGAGTATAAAAAATTGATATATCAAAACTAAATTTTAAATAAATTTAATTTTACTATATTTACTACTCCCTCCGCCCTGAAAATCTGAAATGTTTTTCCCATTTCCATTTAATACGGAATTGAAATTGAGAACCACAATATGTAATTTTGAAATTTATAGTGTCAAAAATAAATTGATTTGAAAAATTAAATTTTATCCAAATCAATTCATGGATTTCGTAGGACACTCTCCACAAATTCCCTCCGTAGCGAAACAAATGATGCAGTTTATGTCACGCGCCTCCATTTCTTCATCCTCTTCCCCGTCCATCCATTTCTCCACACGGCTGAAGAAATTCGCTCCGACCCACAGCACTGTCAGAAGTTTTTCGGCGAAAATGGCTGCAGATTCTCCCGCCCAGCTCACCCACACGCTAAATCTCCCGACACAAGTCGATCGACCAGTCCCCGTCGTCGCTGCTCCGGGCCTCTCCGATACCCTATTCAAGCAAGAACCTCCTCCGATCAATTTTCCTATTTTTCTCTGATTCCATGCTTAAATCTACTCCTAAGTTGACTGGGATCATGAATCTTCTACGCATCTTGTTCTCCGTGGCATTAATTTTTCCAAATCTGGAAAAATTGATCTTTTTTTTGGTAGTTCTATGAGATCAATTGAAGTAGATTGACATTTTCAGGAATGCCATTGAATCCTCTTTATTCAAGAAGTGGCTGGAAAATATACAGACAGAAACAGGGTTGCTGGCTAATGGATCAATGTCTTTGACACAAATTCTGATTCAGGTGTCACAAAATTTGGAGTATATCTTTTTCCATAAGCTATTGTCACTTGTGTTAATTTTCTAAATAATTTAGATTGAAATTCCTCACACACCCAAGTACGGGATCTCTTGGAAACAACCTCTCTGCTTCCAAGTAGGGGTAAGGTCTGCATACACACACCCTTCTCGATGAACACAAGGTCTCCATATGTTACAAATTGGAGGCTAGGCAAGTGAATCAATGCTTGAAGAACTTCTTGAGTGACTATATGAGTGAATAAATGATGTGCTCTTATGACTGGAGTTCTAGAACTAGTATGTCTTTATTTTCTTTCCCGTATTAATCCGCCTTGTTGGAGCAGGGGTAGACATGTTTGGCAAGCGTGTTGGTTTTCTCAAGTTCAAAGCAGATGTCATCGATAAGGAGACTGGACTAGCAGTGTGTAAACATAATTCTTATTGCCTTGGAATTAGTGTCATAATACTTTTCCCTCCACTTAAACATACCCTGGAGAAGTGTTTTTCATTCATATTTATTATATCCATAAAATTATTAGGTTCCTGGTATTGTCTTTGCACGAGGACCGGCTGTTGCAGTACTAATCATTTTGGAGTCTGAGGGTGTGCGATATGCTGTGCTAACCGAACAGGTAATTTCTGGGTAAAATGCAAGTTTCGCCTCCTAACGTAGTATATGAGTTGGTAAAAATAGTTATCTTTTTGACCATTTAGAGCCATTACAATTTAGAGCCATTATGTAAAAGGTTAGGGTCCCGGTTGGGAGGTTAATTCTTGAAATGCCAGCTGGGATGCTAGATGAAGACAATGGCGACTTTGGGGGAACTGCAGTTCGAGAGGTCTGTCTTTCTTGAAAACACACAGATATATAGAATTTTAATTTTTTTTCTTGAAGAAAAACACCTTTTTTTGTGTGTATATACTTTGGCAGGTTGAAGAAGAGACTGGAATAAAGTTGAATGTGAGGGACATGATTGACCTTACAGCCCTTCTCGACCCGTCCACTGGCGGCAGAGTCTTCCCTTCTCCTGTATGCCTTCCCCCATTTCTAATGCTCCCTTCTCCCCAAAAGAAAGTCTTAGTTAAACTAAAAAAGCCAACTTTATCATATTCAAAATGTTCTTTAAACAAAATGTCCCAAACAAGTTGAACGTGTTAAATATTGTTAATATTCGGCTGTTACACCTTACTACAATTCAAAAGTTGTAGCTTTGTAGATAATTACTCTTTTTATAAGTAGGACGGAGTGATGTGTTTTGAGATTATGATCACAGCAGCTCCTTTATGTTATAGGGTGGCTGTGATGAAGAGATTAGTCTGTTTCTGTACAGAGGAAAGATGAGCAAAGAGGAAATAAAAATTTTACATGGGAAAGAAACAGGTCTTCGAGATCATGGCGAGCTAATCAAGGTGCATTTAGTTCCGTATGATAGACTGTGGTGTGCCACTGCCGATGCGAAAACTCTAAGTGCTATTGCCCTATATGAGATGGCCAAAAGGGAAGGACTGCTTCCGGCTTTTGATATGACAAGTTAGAAATGTTCTTTTGCTTGTTCTGTTTATGGCACTTGGAATGTTTTGTATCTGAAGTGCCTTTTCAACTTATCTTTCATGCAAATGATATATGAAGAGTGGCTATTCATTCTGGTCTAGTTGTTCGTGTCGGTGTGTGCGCTTCGTCTTTGTGTTGTTATTTTGTACGGAGTATGTGTTAACGGATGTTTGGCACTGTGTTAGAACTCAACTGTTGATCTTCTACTTCGCCCGGAATGCAGATGTGTCTTGGCAAATATGTTTCTGCTTATTGTTTATGGCTTTAGGTTTACAAAGGTGGAAAATTAATACTCCCTTCGTCCCGGAAAACATGGGAGTTTTGATTTTGAAGAGGGATTTAAGGAGTGTGTATTTTGGTATTGGATTTCCAAAAATATCCTTTGATGTGATGGATAAAAGTATGATTTGATGGATAGATTATTAGTAAAAAAGTATGATGTGATAGGTAGGGTATGAAAAAGTAAGGGGTAAAAGTGATTTTTTAATAGAAATGAGAAGTGTTTTTTGGGACGGATGAAAAAAGAAAGGAGAAAGGTTTTCTGGGACGGAGGGAGTATGTTTTTACTTCCCTTTGTTTGGATGAATAGAAAAAGATAGAAAAGAAATTTAAAGGTGAGAACATATATTTCTATGCATTTTTTCATGTTTGGATTGGAATGAAAATGAAGAGAAAAAGAAAAAAAGTAATGTGACTCACTTAAAAACTTTGTCACTACTGATGATGAGAAAAAGCATGCATTGAACTACTATCCCTCTCCCTCACTATTTTATTCTTTTTTTACTTTTATTTCTCAATTACACATATTTTCTCATCATTTTCACATCATTTACTCTTCATCCAAACAATACTTTTCCTTTCAGTTTTTCTTCATTTATCTCTTCATTTTCTTTTCTATCATTTTCTATCTTAATCTAAACAAAGGGTAAAAATGATTTTTGGTAAAGTTAAAAATAGACATTTTTTGCTTCTAGCTTATGGCTTCTACTTTTTTCACGAATCCACCACAAACTTAATTTGTTTGTGTTTTTTGTGCTTGAGCCGAAAATCTTTTGAAAATTGTCTCTACTTCTGAGTAGAAGTAAGGTCTGCAACACTCTTCCTAAACCCTATTTTTTGCAAAATTTTTCTGTTTTTTGTTGTTGAACTTTCTTGACCGGTTTCTTTTCATAACTAAAAAGCTTTGTGCCAAAATATTACCCCCTCTCAGGCTATGGTTAGGTTACCCTCCAATGGTTGATCAAATATGACATATATTCCCAACACAAAAGAGTTTTAACATTGGAGGAATAATATATGTTTTTTTATTCCGTACAATATATATTTAAGTAATGTGAATCATACAGACAGAATAACATATATGTATTGTGTTGTGTTCAATGTACTCACTCCATAATGAGAAAGAAGAAGCTCACTCTTATAGATTGCTGGTGGCTTCCCAGATAGTAGTTCCATCACAGGTGCAAAGTTTCTTGTAATTCTCACCAACTCCAGCACTTCTAGCTATCACTGCTGCTTGAACCCCAGGACCTGAAGATCTGTCCTCACTTTCATACACAACGATTGCCCTCCCAATCAGATCGCCGATTCTCAGCTTCTCTTTCACCCCAGAATAAAATGCCTCTCCCTTTTCATCGGCTTCCAGTGTTCCCAGGGCACCCAGAGCCTGAAAATTTGTAAGTGTTGATTTCAACTTATTCTCAGTCAAGTACTCAAGTTCAGTTCACTTCAGTGCTTTTTTTAAGTCTGTTAAAGTTCAGCACTTTTCAGAATTTTTTTTCATGATCCGCTTTGGGGATTGGGTCAAAATCAAATACCCATACGACCGTACCTCTTTCCCGGTGGAGGCGGTTGGATTGTAAACTTTGCCAGTGCTGGCTGCACCACGCGTCAGATCGCCATATTGATTGATTGACCAACTGTGTCTTCTTCCAGGTGACAGTCCGGTAAAGTTGGCTTCTATCCTAGCCACTTCCATACTCACTTGAGCAAGGCGAACCACACCAAATATATCTGGTCCTTTGAATTCAGCAACAGCGGAAGAAACAAGAAAATCTGCTCAACATAGGCATCGACGAGAGTATGATACACTGACTGGTATTAGTGTGTCACTACAAGGAAACATAAGGAATGGGGGGATGCAAATAGAACTATAGAGCATGTTTTGCAATACTTATTCAACAAGCAATAAGCATCAAATTGATGCTTATTAAAGTTGACAATCAGAGAAGAAACAAGAATCAAATTGCAGTGAGAATCTGGAACGCCAAACATACAAAATAGCACTGGGGAGTAGAATGATCTACAAGCAGTCCCCATTCACAATGCTAAGCAGGATCACAAATTCACAATAAGGGGCAAATGTGAGTACACATGTTATTAAGGCGATAATACGTAAGGGTCATTTGGCTGATTTTTCTTAAAAGAAAAATGCTAAATAACATCCATCTTAGCCAAACAATCACCAGATTGGATCCTTTTGGTTAAAAAGTGAAATCTTTTTGTGCTTAAATGAGAAAGCATTTATAAAATAACTAATAACACAAGTCACCTGGTTATCCCAAGCAGTCTCTATCACAATGCCAAACAAGATCATAATAATGGTAAATGAGATAACACAAGTATTATTAAGGCCACATTTGGTAAGGTTTATTTGGCTGATTTTCCTTAAAAGAAAAATGCTGGGTAACATCCATTTTAGCTAAATAAGCACCATATTGGAGCCTTTTGATTAAAAAAAGAAATCTTTTTGTGCTTGAATGAGAAAGCATTTATAAAATAAGTAGTAACGAACAACATAAGTCACCTGGTTATCCCAAATGTGCCTCATGTCAAACACTACCTATTCTGCTTCAGGGCTGCCTACTAAATAGAACTTATATCTTAATGAAATACAACTACAAATCAACACATGGTTACGGAGTGTCAACACTTAAGCTCAATTTGAATGTTACCAAGCAATCTTTCCTTTCAGAAAATCCACCAGATTAAGCCGAATAACTCTTACCGAACGGGCCCTTGATGAATGGGCGAAGTAACAATACAACTAGGTCATAGTTTGCAGACCTTCTGGAACCCCTTGCCCAATTAGTCTGGCCTTTCGACCCGTTTGTTCCAAAGCTTCTGCCAGAGTCTTCACAGGCAAAGAGCCAAGAACTTTAACTATTTGATTACCCAGATCCACATCCACACTCTTAACCCCTGAAAGATAAATAGGGTAGAAAATATTTTGTTGATATTGCCACCTTAAAACAATACTCGATATAAACGAAGAATCTCACCGCCTTTAGCACTCACCTTCAATGCCCTCTAATTTAGTCTTGACTGACTTAACACAGCCTTCGCACGACATTTCAACCATAAACTCTGTCTATAATTACATATATCAGCAAACCATTGACAGATAAAGGTTGACAATGAAATTAATGAGCAATTTAGACTTACTTTGCAATCACTATGAATTATTTCTACTCACTTATTCTAAAAAGACCCAAAATAATTAAAGCTCAAACCAAAACTGAAGATTAAAACTTTGAGAAAGAGGGACGATTCTTACTAGCAATTCCGGCAGGATAGTGCCTTCCTGTACAAAAAACAAAGCAAAATCAAAGGAATTAGAACTGTAGAAACTGTTAAAAATCACGTAAAATCACGTTAAGAGGAAAACCAATTGAAGAAAAACCTTCGCGCCACCTGAAGGGAGGGTAACGATTGATCGGAAGAAGGCGCGTCCATCTGAACAGCGGAAAGAGAGCGGCGGGGGTTCGAGAACCCGAGTCCGGCGGATCCGAAAACCGGGTTCGAACAGGAAACCGACCCGAATCGGAAGTTCCTCGAAGGATGTAGACAGCAGGTAGATAGCTTCAAAGAAGACGATGACGAAGAAGAAGAAGCTGCGATGGCGGCGACGGCTGGTAAGGCTGCTGCAACAACAATGGCGGACGTTTTTGCAGTCACCATTGACCTCAGAAATGACATTTTCTTGAGTCGTTTCTTTCTAGATTTTTTTTTCCTTTCCTTTTTTTTGGTTCACTATAATGGGCTTCCGTGTTGGGCTTTTGTAGGCCTCTTTAACCTGTGCTGGACTGACGGGCCTTCAAGTCTGGTTTGCTTTCGAGGAACGTTTGAGAGACATTTTGTTGGAAGCACTAAAAAGTCATTATTAATGTGATCTCTTCTTATAAAAATCTTTTGCATTTCTTTTTTTATCATTCGAAATATATTTTTCCATTGTATTTATTAACAAAAATAAAAAATTTTGTCCATTTTGATGTGCCCGTAACTCCAAATTCATTTGGATGAGTAGTATTAAAATGTTAGATTTCTAGGTTAAAATGACATTTTAATACTATTCGAAGTATTGAAATAGGTAAAGTAGCCGTTGAGTAGTAAAGCATTAGCATCCGCCCGATCATGGTTTAAACACTCATATCATGTCGGACATTTCGATGATTATGCTTTTTTTTGTTGCCCTTATTATCACCATTGATAACAATCCGTCACGAAACAACAAAAATTTCTTTTCATCGTCAAATAATGATCCTATTTTTTGAATATTTTGTAGAGATAACTAAAAGAAATGGAATATATTTTGGAAGAATTATAGAGAGAATAAGGATAGGCTGCGTGTGCTTGTTGTGTTAAAAATAAGAGATATTTATAGTATTGAAAATAGGAAAAATTTAAATAATGCCAAACGGTCCAGATTATAGGCATTGGGGGGAGGAAGACTCGGAGAGCCGTTGTTGCCGCTGCGTCAAACGTTTAACGCATGGCGTTTGACACCCCTCTCACACTTAAGGGGGCAGTGTTTGACGCCCCGATGATGTTAAACGCTGGATAACAGCCCAGGGCGTCGGTGGTATTTCTAGTGCTCTAAGATTGTAAGTTTACATAAATTTCTTTATTTTTACCTAACAAATTACTGTACGTGTTTTAAAGAGTTAGTGAAAAATAATCTTTAACACTCTATTTGGCTCGAGGAAATAGAAAGAAAAGGAAAATATTTTTCTTATTTTTCTCACAAAAAAAAGAAAGAAAATTAATTTTATTTTTTTTAGTTTTTTTCTCATGTTCTTTTTATTTCACTTTACCTAATTTCTCACTAACAAATTTAAAAGAATTATTTTCGGAATTTATTTTTTAATATTACCTTTCAAATTGTTTGAGCTTTGAACCAAACACAACACACGGAGGATAAAGGAAAGGGGCCGATTACATAATTGACTTAAAATCAGGGTGTGTTTGATGAGTAAAAAAAGATATTTGTTTTGATATCTCAAGATATCATATTGCTTCTTTGGTGTTTGGTGAAGCTAAGAGAAATATTGATTTTGAAATCTCCTGATATTATAGTTTTTCCAAACGCAGAATTTCAATATCTCACGAATTTGGGAGATACCAATATGGGAGTTTGATATCTCTCTTAATTGTTAATCATTCTCCGTAACCGACTACCATTGTCATCACAAATCACCGTCGGTGTCAGTCACACCCAGCTATCATTAATTAAATCATAATTTTTAATCTCTCCAAACAACTTTGTTTAAAATTTCAGAATTTATATCTTATCATATTCTCAAAATTTACCAAACGGGATCTCATTCTTCGATAATGAAATTACAAAAAAGAAATAAACTTGCCATTCCGGGCCTCTGTTTGGGCCCAGTTACGCTGTACGTGAGACGATGACCCATGCGCTGGGGACCGGACGCAGCCAAGTTGGGAGCGGCCCTACGAACATGCTGGGCTGATCATTAATATTGGGCCTATATTGCAATCTGAAAACATTCCAAGTTTTCCAACCAAAAAAACAAAAGTTTTGGAAATTCTTAAAGAAATAAGTTTTTTTGTGTGGTTCACATTTTTCAAATTTAATATGTAAATGACACCACACACTTCCAATTTATTGTTATACAAGGTCAACTTAAAAAAATAAGGAGTTTATTACAAAACTAAAATTCTTTTGCGATTACGACAATTGATCGACTGTACTCATTTCGATTCTATCTATTGAAATATTAGTATAAAAATTTAAAATGAAATGTATACATTAAGAAACTATTTCAAATTCTATGAAAATGAGATTTGACATAACTATCTTATTCTAATAACTGATTAATGAAACTTATTTTAAAAAAGAAAAGAAATTGACACAACCTAACCTAAAGTACATAAAACAATTAATAATTTTAAATTACAAATGGTCCATGATTATGATGATTATTATTAGTAGGATGTACTAGACCGGACAATTGCTGCTCCACTTGTGTTGGATCAACTGACCCTTCTCCTACCACCTGCAACGTTAGTTATATTTAAGTTTAAGCAATATAGTATAATTAACTAATTAATTAATTATCAAAAACTAGAAATAGTACAAGCGGTTTGGTGGACTATATGTACGACATTTTTTTTGTTGGTGTGCACATTTTCATACAAGATTTGCTCTCATACGTTTTAAAAAATTGTCACAGTTTGATTTTTTAATTAAACAGTGATATTTTTTGATCAAGAATTAAATACTACCTCCGTCCCAGAGTATTTGTCCATTTTCATTTTTACACACCATCCAATACACTTCTTTAATCCATTTTATCTTGTAATTTGTATATTAAAAAATTATAGAAATTATATATTAATAATCTATATGTTAAGACAAATCAAACAAGATCACACATGACTATATTTAGGCTTACACATTGAGAGAATTTGATGAGTCAAATTGCTTAGATGAACAGTTCCAAAAGTCAAAACTGGACGAATACTCCGGGACGGAGGGAGTATGGTTTAAAATAATTAAATATTATAAAAATTTGTTAATTCAAAATTATATTTTAAAATAAACTAATTTTTACTAAATTTTTGCATTATAATTAAATATATTTTTTTCCATAATTTAAGGTCAAAAAGTAACATAATTTCACAAAAAAAGTTAAACTATGACAATGTTTTAGAGATGAAGATAATATATTTTTAGAGAGGGGTTTTTAGTGGTTGTTAGTGTTAATAACGTTTATATTCTATCTTTCAAACTCGTCTCTAAAAAATTTGACACCGTTTATTAATTAATTACCTCAGCTTGGATAGTGAGAAGGAGTCTATGATTTAGTTTGACGGAAGAACAAGTATTCACGGACATCCCTTGACAGACGAGGACGTTAAGTATTTTGGAGAGGGAGACCTCGTGAGCTTTGTTAACGGATAACGTGATCTCCACCCCACTCCTACATGGTTTCACTATCACTCTACACATCATCTCATCATCATTACCATCATGCCTACACTCATCTTGATGAAGATCACCCTTTTGCTTCATCAACAGGCTTGACGACGAAGATGATGATGTAATAGTTGTTACTGCAGCTGGCTCCGTTATCGCCGTCCCCCTGAGTTCGTCTCTCCGCGCCCTCATCTTCTCCACTCTCTTCCTCAAGTCTCTCACGTACCGAACCGTTTCTTGCAGGCGATCCGATGTTGAACGCTTTCCCTAATTCAATCAAAATCAATGGCTAGTAACTAATTTGTACGCTTTCTTTGTATCAAGATAAAAGACGCAGCTCAATTTATGATGATTCTGACTTCACTTATTTATAATTTAACTTATTTTTAGATTTTGACTTCACTTATTTATAATTTAACTTATTTTGAGTATATCATATTTCACTTGATGTGAACGTGACATGCATTGTGTGTGTGTGAAGACATGTAAATCTAGGACACCACATGCATCCCCACATTGTCCCAACTTGCTGCTACAACTCCCTACGTTCAATCATATTCCTTACGTCCCCAATTTTTTTTTCTTTTGGTACAAATGCGTCCCCATTTAATTCACTTCACGATTTATTTTTTAATAAAATAAAAAATAAAATTTAAAAAAGGTAGTGATTAATTGAAATTTATGTAGAGGACTAAAAAATCATGAATGACGTACATAAGCAAAAATTTACAGTATAAAATTCATTTTAGGGTAATAAAAAAAGAAAATAAGAAATCAATTTTTTGAAGTAATTTTTTCTAAGCAACATTATGCTAAATGAAGTAATTTTCGAAGTTTTTCAATCCGTTTTATTTAATAAATGATCTACAAATAAAAAATAAAATTTACATATTTTAAAACTACGTTAAAAGTTCTACAAAACAAGAGGTGACAAGAATATTTTATTTTATCAAATAATCAATAAAACGAAAAAATAAACAAAAGTTCCTGTAATTTTTAAATAGTGAAGTGTTGCTTACATTTTAGTCATATTTAGTGCAAATTTCACTAATATATAACTAAATATAGCATGCATATACTACCTCCTTCTTAAAGTATTAATTTAACTTTTTTAGAAAATTTATTTTACTGTACTAGTAAGAAAATTTATTTCTTAAAGTATTATTTTACTGTACTAGTATGTAATTGATGATAAACTAATAATCTAACTCAAAAAAATCAAACGAAACAAAATGGTAACTATTTGCAATGGAAGAAAGGAGAGAATACTAACTTTGATATAATCATAGGGGATTAAGGTAACCAAGCTTTTGTAAAGGCCGCCCATCTCTTTCCGCCGCTGCCGTTCCACGTCCCGCCGCATTATCTTCCTCTCCGGCGGCGGCGGCTGATTATTATTATGATGATCATTAGGGTTCTTCATCTTCTTTTGCAGTCTCTCCTGCCCTTCACTAATATTATTATGATAATAATAAAAATCATTAGATTCCTTGAGAAGATCATCAAAAGCCAACATGGGATTGTTAATGTGGTCGGATTCCGGCGGAGGGGTTGTCTGCTGACGTGTAGAAACTGGACAGAAATGCAGTAATCCATCTTGGAATGGAAATGTTGATGACACTTGTTCCATATTTAATTACTGTTTTTTTTTTGGGGGGGGGGGGGGGTTAAAATGAAAAAAA